TTCATGAAGTTTTTGGGAGAGTGCTCAGGATCAAACTTGGGAATTGAAGAAAGCAATGCAGTCACAACAAAGGCCTTAGCTATTCCCATGGGGGCTGGCACGTCCCTTCAGAATTGTCACACATTGATGTGAAGGGGCTAAGCCTTAATAACCCCACATTCACCAGTCCTTGGCTGCAGATAGGCATCCCGTCCCAGAATGGAGCCTGACCTGTGCCTCCTCAGCCTAGGATAATTCTCAGAAAGGGTCTCAGTGGAGACCCCACTCCCAGGAGATGAGAGAATAATTGTTTCAGTCCTGAAGAGCGGAATCAGAGCAGCACGTCACACCACCGTGAGCCACTCAGAGTCACTTGTTTTGTATAAAACATTCTGAAAGCCTCTCCATCCCCCACACCCACCCCGACTCTTACAAGGGAAAGGTTAGTGAGATGAACTACAGCCTCTTCCGTTGCAGCTGTTTCTGCAGCCACAGTTGACACTCCATCTCCCTCCTCCATTATCTACTCACCCTCAGCTGGCACTTCTGCTGATCTTGGCAGCTGATTTAGTGGGATAACCTAGAACCTGATTACCATGCCCTTTTCAGGCCATGATTCTTGCACTTGCCAATTTAACAGCAAAACGGGGCAAGGAAATACCAAGAGTCACCCAAGTGTTTCCCTGGGTGACAAATACATTCTTCCCTGCTCCCACTATGTAACAGCAGCTGGACCTCTAAAACTAGAGGTCTGCAGGGTCCCCTGGCCCAATGGGAAAGCCACTTGCACTCTAGCCTGGACCTGCTGCAGAGACCTTTCCCGTTTCCTGCACCAACTCATGCCCGAGATCACACAGATCTCAGGTTACTAACCTTTCTGGGCCTCAGTTTCTTCACCTGGAAAATTAAGAGAATTACAGTACATATTTTATTGGGATGTTGTGAAGATTAAATGAGTTAATGTATATAAAAAGCATATAAATAGTACCTGGCACATAATAAACCCAATAACAGTAAATTCTAGTTTCTATACTAATTTACATATTTGCCATGATCCACAAATAAGAAGGAATACATGTATATATAATATGCTTAGAAAACACAGGAATATGCTTCAATTTATTTTAATAAGAACTTTATCATTTGCTGTTGTAATTTTAAGTATATTTTCTTGATTTGCTTCAACAAAAGTTCAAGATCCTCACCCTGTCATATTTGAAGATAAAAGCTAAGCCTGATGTATGAGAGAGCTAACATCCAGGTAAGTGACCTTTGACCACGAGGGTCTTTTTCTCTTCCACTCCTCAGGTGGCTATTCTCAGGTGTGTTTTATATCGCTCCTCAAAGGGTTCCTGGTAGGATCAAGCCTCAGTTGCACACAGAGATGATGAGCTCAGGAACTCACCACTGAATTGGCTTGTCTTCCTTCCCTGTTTGACTCTTCCCAGTCCCCACTCTTGTTTCTTGAGATCACATCCCAAAACAAACTACCTGCAAGGAAGATCTCTCAGGCTCTGCCCTTTAGGGGAACTTAGGCTAAGACAGCCAGTACTAGAAGTAGCCCAAGAAAGCCAATGCTCAAGATGGGATTCTGGACCTGGATCACTTTCTAGTCACTCCGTTGCTGGTTATGACCCAGGTACACTTTCACCGGTGCTGGATTTGAAGCACAGGTGGAAGGGAAGCATCAGCTTACACGGGAAGCAGTAGCACTTAAACAGCACGGCGCAATGGTAAGCATAAAGATTATGGGGTTGTCTGATTCTCAAAACTGACTTTAGATACCTTGAAAAAAGAAAATGACAAGCTCAGATTAGCCAACCATAACTCAAGACATGCTATGAAAGTCAGATATATCCAGAACAGTGTTCAATGACCAAGATTTCAGCAGCCATGGGGCAAACAGTGCTAAAGATCAGGCCCAGGATTTGCATAATAGTAGCAGGGCCACAATGAAAACAGGCGTAGGCATCAAGGTTGTGCATTCATATTAAGACTCTAAAACCTAGGATGGGGACATTTGGGTAGAAAAACCAGAGAAGCCTGGATCCCCAGATATCCTTGAACTCTCAGGGCGCTCTCCCTCATTAGAGAAAAGAAACCTCCCTTTGCCTGAATAACTTGCAAAATTCTCACTTGTAGCAGGTCCCTCATAAAAAGATGCTTGTTCTCCTTAAGGTCCACCCATGCCTCCTCTCATTGAACTTGAGATCAATAACTATGATAACATCACAGCACCTACCGCAGAAGAAAACAGCTTTCACACCCAAAGAATTCTAAGACCTGAGCTAACACTTTGACCAAGCACTGGAGAAACATGTAGAAGTGGATCTTTAAAGTGCTATATCAGAGAGGCCTTTATAAGACCGCATAAAGAACAATTCATTGACATGGTGACACACTCTAGTGATTCAGGATTTAAAGTCTTAGCAAGGAGTCCTGGAGGCAATCCTAATATGCTGCTGGCATGACTCCCTGAAACTTGGTGTGGCAGCTTGTGTTCCTTGGGAGGCATACTCTGAGATGGAGATTAGTGTGCAAGAAACTTATTAGTGAGTGCTCTCAGAAACAAACTCTGTGAGATGAATCAGAACTGGACCAAGGGAGTAGCTGCATCACAATGAAGTCCCAACAAAGGTAACCTGGGGAACTCTGAAGATGGGATGCCCCTTCAGAGTTGCTGAGGTGGACTAATATTGGGGCTTTATATACACACGTTGGATGTAGGCTGCTCCCAGGAAGGGGTCATTTGGGGCTCACGATGCTGGTGTACAAGCAAAGATTCATCATAGTGACATGAGAAGGTAGGGTTGCTGCTACACAATGGGATGCAGGAAGAAGTGTCTGGAACCCAAGGGATTCACTGGGCAGCTCTTGGTTCTTTCACACCCAGGAAAGAGTGGGCAAATTAGCAACCACAGCCCAACAAGCATAAAACATCTTGTTAGGATGAAGGTCCGCATCACCCAACCTTAGGAAGCAACCTAGACCCACTGATGTGCTGGTGGAAAGCTGAGCAAAATCTGGAATACATGACGGAAGAGGGAAGATGACAAACATTAATGGTAGCAGAACCAGTTGCAACAATAGACTGTACCTTTTTCCACTATTCCTCTATATTTTGTTGAGATTACAGTCTGTTATGACCTAGAAGGCTGTGATGAAATGGATTTAACAGTGGGTCCAAACAGATCTTAGTGGTACAAGGGGTACACTATGTCAGACTCCTCTCGTGCTCTGCCTCATATCCTCTCAGTTCACTTCCTTACTCTCACCATTGCCACGGCAACCAGTTGCATGCAAGTATAATTTAATAGCACTTTGCCTCACCAAATGTTTCTTTCTATACCTTACCGCCACCCCATTTATCCATTATTATTGTAATGGACATCTGCGGGAATCTGCTTAAGTGAATTTGATACATGCACAAAAATCAATAGGGAAAGGAATTAATGCCCATGGAGTAACCTTGGCTTCATGGGAGATGGGAGCGCCTACGTAAATTCTCTCCTCTTTCATCCCTCGTGAACACAATTTTGAGGTGCATTGTATTCAGCTCCTCAGAGTCAGCAGGTTTATGCCCCAGTTGCCCACAGAGGCGATCAGCTCAATAATGCACCCTTGACTTGGCTTTCCCTCCTTTCCTATTTCATTCTTCCTAGACTCCTACTCTTTCTTAGGATCATTTCTCCACATAAACTACATACATACCTTTGTGTCTGCTTTTTAAGAGAACCATTTCATGAGATCTAGTTTCTTACATTCATTTTGCCAATAAGAATGGCATTTTGTCCAAGGCCACATGATGGAATGCAAGGACATGTGGTAAATGCCTTGATTGCCCTATCCTAGGAATGCTTTCTTAATAAGGCAGTATCCTAAAACCTGGTCCCTTCAAGATCCACTTCAGAGGTGATTTTATTTTTGGTGACTTCCTAAAGGTTGGCCAACATCAAGGCCTCTGTAAGAGGAAGTTCTCAGGGTCAGCGACAGGCTCACGTAAGATCCTTGGTACATAGGACAAATCAGTAGGCACTGAGCTTTCAGCTTAGAAATTTGTTGATGTTAGCAATCTGTCCCAAAATAATCTGCCTTTATCTTCCCTAAGCATTTATTAAGTTGGACAGCTCAGTTTTTTGTTTGTCTCTCTTCAAGAATAATCTGATCCCAATCACACTATATCTTAAAACCACTTTTCAGCTGAATATCCCTAACCATAGTTTTCAGAATTCCTATTTCACTTGTGTGCCCTTTCCGTCCCCGTTCCAAGATTCTGAGATTTAAGACATCTTTAATCTGACTAAAACACTTCAATATTTTCTCCTGTGTCATAAATAGAAAAGGGTTTGGAATGTGAATTCTTGGAGGATGGGGAGCCTGTCCATCTTTGTGTCCTCCAAAACACCTTGTTCATAGTAGACACTTGAATGTTTGTTGAATAAATTTACTCTAGGTCTTGGCAAATCCACCCATTGAGATTGGTCAATACTGGTAACTCAGCAGATCTGTCTGATGGCTGTTTATCTGTCAGGATGAGTTAGATTACACCATAATAGCAAACATTTATTGTATTAAGACACTGATATTTGGCAATTGCTTCTCTCTCACATTACACGTCCTATGTAAGACAGCACAGGAGCTCTGTTCACCTATGTTCTCAACGATCTAGGATGAAAGGTTCAATCTCAATATACATTTCCATAATCACCAGGGCAAGAAAAAGGAATATGGCAAATTGCACACTGGCTCTTAAAGCCCTACTGAGAAGTGTCACATGTCCCTCTGCTCAGATTTCTTCAGCCAAAGCAAGTCCCGTAACTATGACTAATCTCCAAGCCTATTCTAAACAAAGTATTGTTTAAATAGTAATGTAATTTTCACCAGAAAAAAAACATAGCATGAATTTGTAATTTTTTGCCTGAATTACCTTGGCCCCCTACTTCCCTTTCCAAGAGATGTACGGACCTAAAAGCAGACTCTTATACTGCACACTTAAAGAGTAAAAAACCAAGACAAAGGTATGCAGTTGCAAAATGGCCATTTATTGCCTACAGGGGAAGGAAAGGGAGGGAGAGAAGGGGAAGTACACAGGTGCAAGGAAACAAGCATATATTTAGCCCTATACATCATGTGTGAGCAGTACCCAATCTCCAAAATGGAAAAAAGTATTTTGTCATCTGACATAGTAGTTAAGGTTCTTAAGCACCTCCCTTCTGAGCTGCCACAAGATTTAAAAGGCAGGACTGCTTTGTTTAGTCAATGTTCACATTAATGAAAAAATACTACCACCCAACTGTGTCCTTTTGCACGCACATTTTGTACAGTGTTTATAGTGAAAAACATCTCAGCTGAGCAGTTTGGTCAAGATTCAGACCTCATCAACTGTTTAACTGTAATAAATAGAAAAATAAAGCAGCTGGTGATTTTGTCAGAGAGAATGTGTTCAATATGAGTAGAATCACTTTCTCCAGGGATGACAGAGTGTTAAATGATTAGAACACCACAGAACCAGTCTATTAAACATTAAACACTAGTAAGCTATAATTACATGGCACTTCATTAAATCTTCTAATTTAAAAAAAAGAAAGAAAATCTTAGATTTTAAACTGATTATTGGAACACAATAACAAATTGATTTAGTGCTTGGCTTTTTCTTAGGACAAAAGCAAAGTAAATACACACTCTAAAACAGTAGAATTTGTTTTGGAATAGTATCAGTAGAAACTACCAAGTATTCAGGGGAAAAATTACCAAAACATCTTGCTCAGTTTTAAACTCATGTGCTTTGCTTTCCAACCATTAAATTAGTTACAAAAACACTTTATAGGCCACAGAATGACTCAAATGTACGCAAACTAATGCATTATTAATTTAACGCCAAGTAATGAAAATAAATGAACCCCCCCCATTCAAATGGTTAAACTGAGTGGAAGAATAGATCGTCTCATGGACAATTAGTTGGCACTTGTTTTATGGTTGAAAGAAATCATAACATAAGATATAAATTAATCCATGGTGTATTCAACCAACACCCTGGCCCTTTCAGAGAGAAAAAATACATTCACACTCTCTCTTAAAAAAAAAAAAAAAAAAACTCCCTCCATACCACCCAACTCCAGAGACGACAAAAACCAAAGCTGAAACGTTTATCCTCCTCGAAATATTCCAAGTACTCCAATGAATTCTATTCCTCAGTTTCTCCTAGATGAAAGAATTGCTTGCATTTGGACAACTGTACGAATGCCCATAGTGCACTTCTCAGTGCTGCTGGTGTTTAAGAAATTTGCCACTCACAACACTGAACAATTCCAGATCCAGTGTGCAGTAACACAGCAATCCAAACGCCTCCCCCCCAAAAGTTGGCAGAGCACCGCTCAGGAATTTCACAGGTAAGCAAATATATTTTTAGCAAGTTAAGCACAAAGAAAGGACAGTACAGTTTCGGAATAAATACACACCCAGACTACTGCATCACTTACTGCATCAAGATTGAAACAAGTAGCAGGAAACTAAGCCTGTTCATAAGAAGCAAAGCAATTGTTTGACATATCAAGGGTGAGCCAATTGTGTGTTAAGGTAACCAATTAAACAAATGTGGTACATGTAACCATTGAAAGCTTGAAAGAAAATACAGTCATACCTTAGTAATTAGAAATAAACACAAAACTGAAATGAGCAAGAAAGGACCACTTCTGAGAGGGCTACTATGACTCTTATGTTTTTGAGTTAAAAGTGACAGACATACAAACAAAAATCATCTAAATTCAGGGAGACTGTTATAACAAAACTACTACTAATAGGCGCCAAACTATGTCTCCTCAAATTGTCTGAAAGCTGAATATACCATGCTGTGCCAAAAGAGTCATATCACTTGGCATGTGCACACCCTTTTCATATTTCTGATGACACACTGCTAATTTCAGTATGATGATGATTTTATGCTATGTGCCATAAAAAATTAACATTTAATAGGCAGAAATGTCCTTATTTCATAGGGTTTGAAAGTGAAAGCTATTTTACTTAAAAACATTCCACTAGTTAGATGTCATAATGTTTGTTGACTAAAACCTCAACATGCTTGTTTTCCTTCGGTTCCAAGAATAACCCAAGTCTAACCAAACAAACTTATGCCAAAAGAAATAACTAACTAGGTTAATAAAGCTGGCTTTTCCTAGTATCTCCATACTTCTTGCTGTAGGACTTGTGATTTAAGAGAGAAACTTACATAAAGAAGGTATTTGGTTAAAACAAGAAACATGCATGCTCCCCCCTACCACCTTCCTGAAAAGAAGTGTTCTTTTTTTCTCTCTTTCTTTCTGTGGATTTTGTTCAGAACACCCTGAAGTAAAAATATGTGGGCTTTCTTTTTTCTTTTTACCCTTAAACTTTAAGGTGACACTCACACAATAAAGATTTGCATTTCATTCTGTAAAATGAAAGATGCCTGTGGCATCCTCTTCATAAACAGATTACAACTTTGGTAAATACGCCAGGTTGAAGATGTACTAATTTACTTATGTTTGAATTCAAATTTGGTGATCATGATGCTGTTAGAAAATTAAAATCACCTAAAGCAACCACAAGTATAAAAGTTCTCATCTGTCTACAAATTCAAAACTATAGTTGAAGTTCCTGACTTAGAAAAATATTCTAATTTCCCTAGTTAATTTGTCTACCTATAATTCACAGAGTACTACAAACACGATACAATTCAGAAGGAAAAGCTTAAACAAATCTATACATTAGAAAGGTGATTGTTTTTAAAGGTGAGGGCAGGTGGGAGAGACAGAGAATACCCTACAAATGTGAGAATTCACATTTCTGTCAAAATATAACTGTATATGAGTGCTATTTTGAAAACGTGCCAAAAAGGTCTTTGCTTGCTACAAAACCATATTCTTATGGCTGCCAAATGTATCAGAAACTGATGACATTTTCTGAGACCAAAGCTACTGATCAGTCAGTGCCTTTTACAAAGCTATTAAAATCCCTCAGGAACTCAGAATACAAGACCTTAAAAACAAATAAGTAAGTATTGGGACACAGTCAATTTTTATTGCTAGAAAATCTAGCCTTGTATTAAGAATGATGAATGATATACCTCTGGTTCCATCAAAGAACACATTTAACCTATTTTTTCTTGTGCTTTCTCTACTCCTTGCTATTTTATTTGAAAGTACAGATGCCATTAGTGACTTTTAGAAATTCCTGGAAATGCAAATACAAACAATTTTTCACCCATTTAACAATGTATGCTTAGGAGATACCATTTTAAAATGGAACACAATATGTTTGCCCATGTTCCAGTTTTAATGTGCCACATCCTCAATTCTAATATAACCCATCACAGAATCAAGTGATATGAGCCTTAGATCTCTTTCAACTTTCTCCCTTGCTTCTCTGTGATTTAATATAGAACTTTAAAACACCAAGGAATAGGGACAAATAAGAAATGAAGCTTTATATTTCTGCAAACTACAACACTAAAACACAGTGGCTTCTTTAATACATTCACACAGGATGCTTATTAGTAAAATTAAATATTTGCCTATGAATATCAGAAAAGTAATTTGAAAAAAAAGAGCTTGGAACAAGGCAAATGGGAGGGAGGAAAAGCTGGTCTCAGAACCCATTGTGCCATACCTGACTTTAACACGTGATATTCAAACGAACGTTCACACGCCTTACATCAAAGAAATGAAACAAAAATATTCAGCTACGTTGTACAAAATTTTTTTTTACATAAAACATCATAAATCTTGAACAGATTTACTATATCTGAATTCTAAAAAGTTGCCTATAGAATGGTGCTGGGATTCTGTTCTCTGCTTGCTTTTAGGCAGTGCTGTTGCTTAAAAGTTGACACCAGGCACAATATTTTAAAACAAAGTCAACAAGCAAGGAGCAGTAAGTGGATTTGAGCCTTTCCCAGATGTCAGTCCTGAGGATGCTGCAATATTCCCCATCAAAATGTGTAAAGCTATGAGGCGGATACTGATGCCTGAGAGAGTGGGTGACTTGACATGCACTTGGATGACTGCTGTAACGGCAAACAGTGCAGCTTTCCCTTCCTCAAACAACACTGTTTTAATAAATTTAAAGAACACTCCAGTTCTTAGACAAATACTAGAAATCATATTTAACAGTTAAAAAAAAACACATTATCACAATCTAAAAATGCCCAAATTTTCTTTTATCTTCAGATAAAATATGCAGCAGCCCCTTGGTATAAAGCTTATTTAACTTATTCTGAGAACTAGAAAGTATATGAGCATAAATATTTCACTTTCATTGAATATATACCATATGTCATTCACCTCTTCCTTTTGGCTTCTCACTGCCAAAGTTCCAAATGGCATGCGTTTTAACAAGACAATACTGAGGAGAGCAGCATTTCTGATCATCTGAATTGGCAGCTCAAAACAGATACTACTCCTTTTACAAAGGGAACAAAGGGTGAAGGGTGTGTGAAATTTGGGCAGTGGGCTCAAGGGGAACCGTGCACATGAAATCTGGGTTACCATGCCCCAAGTGTGTGTGCCACCCAAAACATAACACAATTACCTACTTCAACAGAGCTACTACCAACATTTACTAAAACCACATTAAAAATACACAGGATAATGAATGGTTTGAAAGAGTGCATTTGGAAGCAGAGAGAACCCAATTACACACCTTCCTGCAACAGAGTGCCTCGATCATACACAAAATAAACTTAAGCTGTTTACAATGTTTCCCAATTTTTTTTTATTTTTTTCCCTCTACATTTAACTATTAAAAAAGTTTTTTATTAATAAATGGGCTCCTCTGTGGTTCATATACAATCATAAGTGAACTTTAAATTCCATTTTATACAAACATCTCAAAAAATATTGGGAGTGAAGTATGGTAGGAAATATTGCTCACATTGCTAATTAACATGCGTATATGAAAGGAGGAAAATGTTTTGTTAGTGCATATACCTCCAGAGCAGAAAACCCACCCAAAACAAAAGATTTAAAATGAAACATACAGTAGCTGATTACAAAAAAAGGTAATGTCCACAAAATTAAGTTTTTCATGCTATTCTACTTTCCAGTACTATGCTTCAGGTAATCAGTTTGCATGGCTAGATGTTGAATGCTTGAGGTATATAAGAAGGGATACCTGCACGTTGAGGAAAATCTGTCATCTTAAGGGTTGTCTCTTTGTTTATTTGTTTATTCTGGTACTTTAACATTTTTAAAATAATATTTTATTTACATTAAACTTCATTCAACTACAATGACATTCCAATTATAATAGATGACAAACAACGCCTCTATCACTAGGCACTTTTAAAAGGGAGTTTAGGCTTTATAGAACCCTTCTGATGCAATCCCATATATGATATTACATCATTCCACACTCTCGTCCCACTAAAATTACCTTTCCAAGGAAACATTATCTTATATAGCCTGATTAATTTACTATGGGAGAAATTATTATAAAACGACCAAAGAAAATGCATCATTTAAGACTAATAAAACAGCCTAAGATGTCAGGTTTGAAAGAGGAGACAAATTGTATGTATTTAAAACTAATTAAATAATTTAAATTTGACCTGTACTTTATATATTAGTGAGACACAAATATAGGCTATTTTCTTTTAAAATTTCATTCACATAATGGAAAATTTGTTTATTAAAAATATCACATTTTGAGACTAGAAACAGTAAAGTGCATGAAAAGTTTAAAATATAAATTTCAGAAAACTCTTATAGCAGCAAAAAAGCAGAATAAAGAAAAACTTAAAAACACAGACACAACCTTTTCCTGTTACTGTGCCATAATTAACATCAAGTAGCCAACCAATTTTTCCCCCAGAAAACGGTATTACGTTCACTGCCTCTTGAGTCACAGATTTCCAACTGGCCCCTCCTGGGCAAAAAAAGGATTCCAACATAACTAAAGAGCATCGACAGTTGGGAATAAACCAGTAGCTTCTTAATTCAACCCTGACAGACAACGGAAACAAAGATTAAAAGCATATAATGGCCATTTGGCAACTAGAGTCAGGAAAAATGATCCCAGGCTTTCAACTACTCCCTGTTCTCTCTCTCCCCCAAATTCTTTCCATTGTCACCTCCACAAGCCAAAACCAACAGCCACTTGACCTACTTTGGGAAACACATGAACTATTTGTACAGCCTTCCCCTTCTAAAACTTTGACCAGGGACTTTTCATTCAGCAGTTTTTTTTTTAACATTTGACTATAAGGGCAAAAGCTATACAGATCATATAATATCTGTTTTTCCAGCACAATCAAGCAGAAAAGGGTAGATGGGGATAATGAAAAATAGTGGACACTAATTTTGTGGGCATCCTAAATATACCAAATTCTATTTTCAAGATGTGTGGCAGTCAAAATCACCCAGTGTTTCCCTATAAATTAACTTGGAGAGACAGGCTTAGAATTAATACTTCTAATAAGGTTTTAACTAACAGGGGAAGAGAATATAGAGCGATTCCTCAAAAAAAAAAAAACCAAAAAAAACCCAGCATTTCCCCCAACAAACTGTCATGTGCTGTTAAATGCCTGATTTTGAAAGCATATTGTGCAACCATCTTTAATTTCTCAATTTTTCTTATTATGGCTAAAGGCTATATCATAGTTTCTGTACAGATCTAGCAAATTTAAGTGCTTTGTTAATGTGCAAATAACTTGGGGAGCCAAAAATCAGTTTGTTATAATGGAAAACAGAAATTCAAGAAAGTTTCCCCTGAAAGGCATGCCATCATTCAGTTTAAAATCTTGTATTTATAGTTTTTAAAAATTGCGTTTTACAAAAATGGTTGGCTCATTTGAAACCATTCAAAAGAAAGTATTTGTCTTGGAAAAACAAATACACTGCTGTTGGGCCTTGAAATGTTGATTTATCAATTATGAATGCTGACTCTATGAAGGTCCAATTTAAAAATACGTTAAATTAAAAATTTGGAAAGAGAATATTACTTTGGTTCCAGCCCTAGTGCCAAATGATACCGATATGCACAAAAATGTACAAAATCTTATAGCAAACACATAATGAAAGAAACCTGAAGAAGCAGCTTAAGGATGGCCATACTTCACTCCTACATACTTTGATTTACAACTGTACAGGTCCATAGCAACAGATCCCCGTCTTTGCGGGGCAGTACTCCACTACCTCCGATTAGGCAAGTGAACACCATTGACAAGAGGCAGGAGTGGAGGGTGGAGTTCAAGTTGTGTTAACAGTGAGAAGTGGTCTGAAGGGATGTGAGGGTGTGGACACCCAGTGATGTTGTTCTCAACCAGCCATTGAGGATCTAAAGGCCCCAGGACACCAAGCACGTTCATATGAGTCTTGGAATAGAAAATGTAGTCAATCACGCCCTGGAAAGAGATTAGGGGTTGGGGGGGGGGGGGGGGGGGGGGGGGAGAAAAACATATGCTTAGAAAAGAGAAAATTCAAGATATTTAAAGAACAATCCATAATTTGTAAAAGCCAAATAACTGAGTAACCTGTACTTCTGGTACCTGTTGTATTGACAATGGGTCAAATAAAGCTCAAGTCTTCAATGGGTATTACATGAAATAAAGGTGGCTCAACAGGGAAACACAGCACCCTATTGGAATCATAAAGCCTTGCATTTGTGCATAAGTGATAAGCAAACTGAGAACCTAAACACATCAAATTATGCCTAGGCATCTTTAGAATTAGCTTACTTGTGTTAGTGAAATTTAATATATCAGTATATATGTTATAGAAACTGCACTAAATCTACTAGTTACAATAAACAGAAAATAAGGATATTTATGTAAATACATACATAGTTAATGAAAAGGTACGACTCAAATTAATTCTTTTAATGATAATTGGCATTATTTTCAATTATTTGCCCATCAAGACATCCAAACACATCTGAACAAAGCCAGGGTAAAGCATGTTTTCAGATTTGCTAACTCTAGTTCAGCTTTCACAGATTTGCTACATACAGTAGTCCCCTCCTTATCCATGGTTTTCCTGTCCTTGGTTTCAGCTACCCGCAGTCAACTGTGCCCACAAATATTAAATGGAAAATTCCAGAAATAAACAATTCTTAAGTTTTAAATTGCACACTGTTCTGAGCAGAGTGATGAAATCTTACACCATACTGCTCCATCCCACCCAAGGGGTGAATCATCCCTTTGTCCAGTGTATCCATGCTGTATATGCTACCTGCCTGGTGGTCACTTAGCTGTCTTGCTTATCAGATCAACTGTCATAGTATCGGGTTTGGTATAGGGTTGGGCACGATCTGTGGTTTGAAGCATCCAATGGGGGTCTTAGAATATATGCACCACAGATAAGGAGAGATGACTATACACAAAAAATACTACATACAGTTAATTGTTTTAATCTGTTCTTTAGTTTGGAATACTTGTTTTCACAAATCCTGGTATACTATAAATTCTGGACTCCTTGCTGCATAACAATACCTTAGCAAAAACATTTGGCAGGGACCCATATATACATCAGTTGTATCTCTTAGAGCTAGATGATTTGTTTTGTCTACTCAGTAACTTTCAAAACTAGTGTGTTCTTATTGCCCCAGGCTGTGTATGCAAGAAAGTAAGGTCAAATTTCTTCCTACTCACATCAAGAGAGCCTGAGCCCAAGTATGGAGAGGTATTTCCAGACCTGGAAGTATCTATCTACAAATACTATACATAATGAGTTACAGTTAATATTTTAAATGGTATTACAGTGAAATGGGCTACTTTAAAAAGAAAAAAAACTTTTAATGACAAAAATTTTATATCATGAAATTTTGTAAACAATTACCTCAGTTTGCTGATTTTGACATGACCAAGACCAAAATAACAAAATAGTTCTTTTGAGGCAGAAGGTCTTATTCAACATTAGATACTGTTACTTTACTTTACCACAAATTAAGGAACCTGCTTGAATCCAGGGGAGGACTTTTTGCCATTAATACTCAAAGTCCAAACAGTTAAGAAATGATATTAGTACAAGGTATTATCCTTTCATTTTGACTAATGCCTAGTTTTTAGGAAAAGGGTTGACAAGGGTCAGAGTAGTTTACTTTCCTTTGTGAGACCACTCTTTGCTTCAACTATAAAGCAAACAAAATACAAATGAAACATTCTCAATTACTTATGTTCAATAAAACCTCCTATATCTTACACTTTGTTAGAGTGTTACTACGCAGATCAGCTGCCAGAGTTATAGAATCCTTTGCATACACAGGCCCCAAGGAAGATGTTAAACACTCCAGAAAGTAACATGTATTTAATTGAAGGCATCATTTGTAACTATTTTCTTGGTTCCAACATCCAGAGTAAAAGCTCTTATCAAAAACCTTAGCAAGTCCTGTCTGTAAGCTCATCCAAATATGTGTACATATGTACCTATATTTGTACATTGTATCATATTCACAAAGGAAGTTATAGACTAATGATTCTTAACCTTTTTTGATTCAAACCATTTCTTTTTTAAAAGACTATAATGTTGGAAACAGTTTTTATATTAGTAAAGAGTATGGTCTATATATAGAACTGTATTTGAGAGAAAAGTAAAAACAGCGAAAAGAGTTTAAGCTAGCATTATGCTAAGCTTTGTTTTGTAAACAAATGTGAGAAAATTATATAACACAAATTTCATAACGTAAAAGAGAAAGATTTACTACCTGACATAATAGAAAAACTGTCCCTGCTCTTTTCATGAAATGGTTCAAGCACATCCTTAGATTGAGGAGGTGGGGGGAAGCAGGAGCAAAGTGTTTGAATTAAGCTATTTATTCAACTTATCTGGTGATACTGGCTGAATGTTTGTGTCCCCCCAAAATTGAAACGTCGAAACTCTAACCCCTAATGTGATGGTATTAGGAGGTGCGCCCTTTGGGAGGTGACTGGCTCATGAAGGTGAAGCCCTCATGAATGGGATTAGTGCTCTTTCAAAAGAGACCCCAGAGAGCAAACTTGCCTTCTCCGCCATGTGAGGATACAAAGAGAAGACAGCTGTCTGCAACCCGGAGGAGGGTTCTCATCAGAACCTGACCATGCTGGCACCCTGATCTTGAGCTTCCAGTCTCTAGAACTGTGAGAAACAAATTTCTGTTGTTTACATGGCACCCTGATCTTGGACTTCCAGCCTCCAAAACTGTGAGAAACAATTTCCGTTTTTCATAAGCCTCACAATCTATGGTATTCTGTTACATCAGCCTGAACTCACTAAGATACCTGGTCTGGAAGTAATTCTCTTAATTGCTTACCCTTCAGTTCACTCGAAATCAGTTCTAGATTAAATGAATCTGAGTTCTAAATACTACTCTTCTACATGTCTAACTTATTCAAGAACCAAGAAAGTAAACAAATGCTAAGCCAAGTAAACAAAATTTAACAACACACCATTGATGCAATGGCAGGATATTATATTTGGAGCTGTATTTAATGCTGATGACAGGACATTTTAATATTTGATGTTACCTATCCTTTTTTACTGACTGCCTTCAACATTAGTATAGCACTAATTACATAAAATGCTTTTTATAAAATTGAAAAGTTCATTGTCTGTTACTTGGACTAAAAGCTCAGTTTCCTCTAGTCAGGTATGTCCTTTGTTCTCTGGCCATCCTTTCTTCCCATTCCATTCCACCCTCCCATCACATCCATCTACCATCCAGCCAACCAGCCTATTTGTCTTCCCACACATGCCTCTCTCCCACAGATTTATAGCTCTGTCCTCTCTCATGCTATCTTATATATCCAAACATCAAACTCTCTGAGCCATGCACTTTTGGCATTTTTGGTTCTTTAACTGTACTTCTTTGGACAATGTAAATGGCTCAATAAGATTTTTGATCCAATTATTAATGCGTGTAAGATCTTTTGAAGCAACATCAACAAAGGATTTAAAACAATTCAGATGACTGAGGAAGATGGCTTAAATTAATATCCCAAATTTTGTTTCTCTAATTTTTACTTTATGGAGAAGGAAAAATAATCTTTATAAAAGCATAGATGAGGTAGAAATGATTTGGTCTTTTTACCTACATACATACCAAAACAAGAATCAGAACTGTCAAATTATTGAACACTTATTTGGGGGAACTTTATTTTAGGTTTCCCAGGTTGTGCTGGTAGAGATGTTGTGCTAGGGAGATGCAGTCACACACAGACATGTGACTACATATCCCTATAATCACAAAGATAGGATTTAACGATTACTAAACCGTCTATCATTAAATCTAGAGGTTCTCCTTTAAGCTTACACAAGAGCAGTGGTGTGCTAGAGTCAGCTAGTACCAGCTTTCTTAGCACTTCAGACCAACTCTGTGTTCAATGGTATTATGTTGAGAGTTCGAAATCTGCTACAGTGGGAGTATTTATTCCACAGAAACCAGCAAACACAACAAATTAGGGCTTCTTTTCTCCCATAAAGGTGGTTATTAAATATTTATCAGAACATCACTGCATACAAGTGATATGAACAAAACCAACTATCACTGAATAGAATTATTTACTCCAACAGCAAACATACTAAAATTAGATTCAATTTCTTCTAAGCAAATTTTTTTCCACTTCATGATTACAAAAAGCTAACAGCATCAGCACACAAATTTTCTTTCTTCTTCCCACTATTTGTTTCTTGGAAAGAGGCTAACAAGCACTGAAAATGGAAAAAGGTTACTGAAGACATGTAAAGGCCCATTTCATAAATTTCCTTTGATATTTTATTAAATTCCCTTTAGATTTCTTCCACCAAATGACTAACATCTGCATTTTTTAAGGATAGTATAAGATTTTAGTATATATGCTTGAAATGCCAGAAAGTCAAAGAAAGGCACAATGGAAGAGCTACAGGTAGATAGAGTGATCAGAAAACTGGCAAAGGGAAAGCAATTAACTAGAGAAAACCACTACTAATCAATCTTTCTAAAGAACAACCAGTCTTGTACAATGGGCTCTCTAATTTTTTTTCTTATTTTGCAAAAATATCTTTTTGATATTTTTTTTGAACTTTTTTGAAAAGAGTTTCTTTTCCCTTCATTAAGCTGGAGTGTTCCACTGCCTGGGAATATATTAGTATGACTACATGGATGTAAAGCAGACCCTAGGTACCCCCTCAAACCCCTTCTCTCAAAGAAATCTGGAAAATTCACAGATAAATAAGAACCAATGGAAAGTACTAAGAAAATTTTCAGAGAATATTATAAAAATTCATTCAAGGTGAGTTTAGCTAAATCATGTTCTTATTATTTGAATCCTTACTGAAAGTTAGTGATGGTACAAATAGGTGAGGATTAACTATGCTAATAAATATAAAGTGCTTTGAACAGTGCCTGGCACATAGTAAGCCTTTTAAAGTTTTTGCTAAATCAGTATTATTTGAAATTTGAACAAATGAGGGTTCAAAAAGAATTCTCAAGTCAACAATAACCACCACAAAACCTAACTAAAGCCCCTTAATTTACGTGTATACATAGCCAAGACATTTTGCAAATCTAAAAATTCCTGAAGAGTATACATTTAAGCATAAATAATTTATTCCTTGTTTGTGTGAAATAATTTCTACACCAGCCCAGAGGCTGTCACTCACTTTGAAATCAAAGGTGTAATTGGTGTAAGGCATCAAGTTATTTTCATAGGCGCTCTTCAGTTGGAAGCCATGTGTGATTCTCCCTTCTGAGCTTCCATTCTTTCCATTGCAGCTGAAGTTCATAAGACACTCATTGTACCTTAGTTCCTTGAAGTCTTTATGGTTGTCAGCTACTCCTCCATTGCTTAAATATTCCACAACACCTAGTAGAATAAAGAAGGAAGAAATACTATTATTTAGCATTTAGACCTTACACAAGATTTCACAGCAAAACTCCATTCCCAGGTAGGTGCACCAGGTTCAGAGTGGTTTTATTAGGTTGAGCCATATGAAACTGCCTTTTTGTTGTTGTTAAAAAAGAATCAAATTATCAGCAATTGCATATGGTCCAAAAACAAAAGGCTATTTGCCTATTTCAGAGAAAAGTATCAGGACCATCCAGAAATATCCTATTTTCTTTTTTCTTTCTTTCTGAGGTTTAGCCCTGAGCTAACATCCACTGCCCATCCTCCTCTTTTTGCTAACAAAGATTGGCCCTGAGCTAACATCTATGCCCACCTTCCTCTGCTTTGTATGTGGGACGCCTGCCACAGCATGGCTTGATAAGCGGTGCGTAGGTCCCTGCCCAGGATTCAAACCTGCAAGCCCCAGGCTACGGAAGCGCAGCATGCGAACTTAACTGTTGTGCCCCGTCAGTTTTCTTAACGGTTCTGCAGGCTAAAGAAGATTCCCAGGGCCTAGGGCGGCATTCACCAGGAAGATTTTGAGCCTCAATGTTTTTAGAATATAATCCCAAAGCATCTGTTTAGCCTTTCACCATTCTACGCAGTCAATCAACAACTTTGGGAATATGTAAAATATAGCATACACAATAAAAAAAATAAATCATTTACAACAAACATAGATTTTGCACCTTCAACACTTCAATGTCTAGCTTCAGCTAGGCAACATCATTCTATATTCATATGCTAGAAGTATACCACTTGATCAAAAATATTAGATGTCTAAAAAGCTGAAGAGAGTAGAAGCATCAAAAAAAAGTACACAGCAGGGCCAGACCAGTGGCGTAGTGGTTAAATTTGTGCACTCCACTTTGGTGGCCCAGGGTTCACTGGTTTGGATCCCAAGTGCAGACCCACACACTGCTTATCAAGCCATGCTGCGGCAAGTGTCCCACATATAAAATAGAGGAAGATGGGCATAGATGTCAGCTCAAGGTCAATCTTCCTCAGCAAAAAGAGAACGATTGGTGGCAGATGTTAGCTCAGGGCTAATCTTCCTCAACCAAAAAAAAAAAAAAAAAATTAAAAAGTACACTGCTTCCATTGAATAGGTAAACATGAAAAAAAAATCACAACCATTCTTATGATGAAGATTACTGAACAATGTTGGTCATCTCTTTCTTTTTGTGGTAAGGAACGACAGCAACATATAATGAATAAGTGATGAGTGCAATATCAGTATTCTGAATAGGTGAAAAGGAGCTATCACTTATCTAGTGTTTACTACATGCCAGGCACAGTTCTAAGGGCTTTATGCACTTAAACCTCACAAACATCTCTATGAGGTGGATAAAATGATTATCCCTTTAATAAAAATGAGAAACTTAGTCATAGATTGCACAGCTACTAAGTGGTAGAACCGGGATCCAAACCTGACAGTCCAGTTCCAGAGTCAGCTCATTATGCCATGCTGCCAAAATGACACCTCACTGGCTTAAACAAATCAAATGAGATAGGGGAAAACTTGTCTATGAGAGCAATTCAACTCAAAAAAAAAGGTTTAAGAAAGGAAGACATGGTTAAGGTGCCAATGGGGCTAGGAGCTGAACACAAACATTTGTGAAAGGATGATTCCAGCATTTTATTTGCTAAGGAGAAAAGTAAAGATGTTTTCTAGGTTTGTGAGTTTTATGAATATTCCAATTCCAAATTCCAATATTTATTGTTGAGTGATTATTTTAAACAATTTAAAACAGCTTATTGAAAATATACAATATTTAGAATATGCTTTGATAACAGCAAAAGAGTAATACTTTATGTTTTACATTTGAAATTTAATATCTAAAATGCAGAACTGATTTTTTACAAAGATGTAAAATAATATGTTAGGACATAAAGTAGATTAGTGGAACTCAAGAAGTAACGTGAAATCCTCAGACGATTTTGATCACTACTGCACTTAATATCAGCATTTAAATATCATTTAATGAATTCACTTAAAAGTTGCCAGTGTTAAACCAGATAGCTACCTGTGCTGGATATTTTCTGGTTCCCTCTCTTCGGATCCCTTCTCTACTGCACTTTGTGACACAGGAGGCTGACCTTTACTTGCATCAGCTGCAAATCCCTCCCTTCTAAGTTTGTAGGTAGATTTGGTAAATAGGCAGCACTGGCAGATCAGAAGACAGGAGAAGAGTGAGGTAGGAATATATATTCGCCTAGCTCCTTTTTTGTTGGCTTGCCTGGGATTGATCACATCACTTAATTCAAAGCCATCACTCCTATTACATGGCCATCTCCTCCTTACAACTGCTTTTTGAAGTTCTGATAACAGCTTCCACCACTTTTCCCTTGAGATACAGGAGTGGTAAAGGGTTCCTAACTCCCCTAGTGGCAGAGTTTTGTGTCCCTTACCCCTGCTAGGCACCTTTCAAAATAGCTTCTTTACTAAACTCTCCTCGATTACCCTATGTCCCATCCCTAGGATTCTTACTGATACACTCCCTAATTTAGAGGAGACATTCTCTACTCAAAAGTTAGGAGTTAGCTGCCCTTTAGCCAGAAGTAAAAGCAAAATTGAAAGCAATGAGGAAATGATGTTATAAATACCTGAATCTGGCAATGAGTTAAGATCTGCACATAGCACCAGCGGGATGGAATTAGGATCTGCGGTTGGGCTGCCAGGCCTACTAGAGGCCTTCTCCAGAATGTTTTTAACCTCTGAGACAAACATCATGGTCTGGATGAGTTTCACATCAGAATACTCTGGGTCCCAATGCATGTGGGCATTTGCCACTATAAGCAGCTGTTTGTCTGCAGCATGAATAGGCTTCATACCTAAATTTAAATATTAGAAAAAGGAGGATACGGTTATGCTTTATGTATCAGAAAAAGCAGCAACTTAACGTTTTCTCCCAAAAGCCCACAGCCACTTCTTTACTCTTTTCCATTAATTTATATCTTCCCCTTTATCTCTTAATAGTGCTTAGAAGCTAAGGTACTGAGATTCTGGTAATCCTAAAATGGGAAATACTCCTCTAGATTAGGGTTGACAAACTGCAGCAATGGGCTAAATCTGGCCCACCACCTGTTTTTGTATAGCCCGTATGAGCTAAGGCTGGTTATAAATTTTTAAAGAGTTCTATATAAAATTTTTTAAAAGACTGTGATAGAGACCGTATGTGGCCCACAGGGCCTAAAATATTAACTATCTGGCACTTTAGGGGAAAACTTCGCTGACTCCTACTCCACATGTCCGAGTTAACAATTATACCATGATACAATCAACATTTAATTATAGTACCTTGATTTGCTGAGTTCTTAGTGTAAACAAGCATTTTAAATATTTCTGTCATTTAAATACCACAAAAACCCAGTGAGGCAGGTTTTGCCCAGTACTCATTCAACCTTACACCTCCTAAGCACATCAGTGATGGTTCAGGAGTAAAAGGCAATAATATTATATTAACCCATACAAAATAAAATGAGGAAATGAATTTCCTATCAAAACAAATTCATACCATTCACCCAAATAAAGCGTCATTTTAAAAATGAGAATTAGGGAGTAGCATGCTTTCAAAGTCTGGATACTTGGTTTAGACCCAGCTTTATTACTAATTATTTTGCGTGGTCTTGAGCCAGTCACTTAACTTTTTTGGTGCTCAGGTTCCTTTGGACAATGAGACAGTCAACCAGAAAATCTCTAAGGTTCTTTTTTCCTCTAAAATTCTGGTTTTTTTAATTCTTCTCAAAATAAATATTAACATAGTATTTTCAAAATGACAGACAGGATAATACATTAAAAATTGTGAAAATTAAATTTAGTTAACATGTACTGACAGAGAAAGATGTCCATAAAATATTTAAGGAACAAAGTCAAAAAAAAAAGATCAACATGGATGGTAGGATACTGTTTAAATAAAACTATATACATATATTCTATGTTAGTAATGTGTAAAGAAATAAACAAGAGCTACTCCTAGAGAGTATGAATGACATGAGGGGCCTCTCACTTTATTTTACATGCTTTTGTACTGTTGGAATATTAGCGAACATACAAAAATTCATTCTTCTACTGGAATTTCTAGAGATGTCTCAAATTTTTATACTGAAAATATAAATTCTGCAGAAAGACACCTAACTTTCTAAGTCTACTATGAGTTTCCTTCCGTCTTACCAAGTATAATTACCTTCAATGTTGAGTAAACAAGTAATTGAAGTATCCGTTATACACGACAGAGTCATTTTTAAAGTAATTTAATTATAAGATAAAAACTTGCAGCCAAAATTCTTTAAGCTCTCTTCTTTTCCTAAAAGTTTTACAGTGTCACTTTTCGCTGCAGATTAAACATTCACTGTATTAAATATTAAAAACTTGACCCTTCGCACTTGTATGGTGTCTGACAAATGATAATGTACAACTGAAATTTCACAATACTACAAACTATTATGACCACAATTAAAAAGTAAATTTACAAAAAAAGAAATAAACCAAATAATCAAAAAAAAATGAGATCATACTATAAAACTTTCTACGCATTTTCCTTTTCTCACTTAAAATACCTCAGCTGAAGGTGGCTTGTCTCTTCCTAAGTTTGTATTTAGAATTTTAGGTGGAGCATTTATTTTACCAAGACTTTATCTGTGGGAGCCCTGTGGGTCCTGGGTTGAGGATAAATCTCTCTAGCAAGTGTTCACATTTCCTTTTCTTGGAACCCAGGGCACTATCAACCCAAGTCTACTTTATATTGTCCATTATTATGTATTATACAAATGTATATACTTGTATATTATACAAATTGTATACCATAAAGTCTACTTCATAATGTCCCAGATCATATAGGTAGTGTGAATCAGGAACTCATACAGAAGCAACAGCCGACGTGCCAAGATGAAGGCTTAAAAGAGATGTCTTTATTTTTTTTCCTCCACCCAAACCCAAAATAAAATAGATATATAACATAAAAAAAAAAATCAAAAAACTTGCCCCTTCAAAGGGGCCATAGGCACCCTCTATAACATTAAACTCTTCTTCTAGGAGTACAAGACAGACATATTTCAGAAGGTGAAAGTGTCCACTGTGTAATTTATAATTATTCTTCTGTACATTAAAAGAAGAGTAAAACTCTAACAGAAATTCAATTTTCACATTACCAGAAGAAAAAATACCAAACTTTTGAGAAGACTGAGACTGGGAAGAACATAAAAGCAGGTAAAAATGAAGAGGCTAAAAAAAGAAGAAAATTTAAAATCTCATATCAAAGAATGATGGTTGGGGCCGGCCCTGTGGCCGAGTGGTTAAATTCGCGGGCTGTGCTTCGGCAGCCCGAGGTTTCACTGATTCAAGTCCTGGGTGCAGACATGGCACTGCTCATCAAGCCACGCTGAGGCGGCATCCCACATGCCACAACTAGAAGGACCCACAACTAAAAACACACAACTATGTACCGGGGGGCTTTGGGAGAAAAAGGAAAAATAAATCTTTAAAAAAAAAAAATTGTCCATGATGGATAAATTGAAGAAAATGAGAAAAGAAGGTTTGACAGATATGCATGGTCTGAATAATTCAAATCCATACTCAAGGCAAAATCTTTTTTTCTACTAGTAAGTACAGAAAAAAAATTTTAAATAAAAGCCCTGATGTGGTTCCTTGTTCTTGCCTAAAATATAGTTAAGTGAACAATGAAATGCTCAAAGGTGGCAGTAGAAAGGGGAAAAAGGCCTGGATATGCAAAACACAATAATGAGTTTCTGACTTTGAAGGAAGCTATAAATAATCTAAAATGCAAAAGAAAAGTACCAGGTAGATAATAGATCTGCTCTTACCCTGACAATGACTGAGATATAACAAAGAAATTAGAGAAAACGTGCCAAGTACTTAACCTTAAAGACAAAAGATTTCACAATCAAGAAGCTAAAAATATGGCTAAAAAGAGAACCAACTCATCATAATTGCCAAATTCAGCCTAACTAAAACATTTCCTATTTCAAATAACCTTTTGGAATTAATAGCATATTAAAGATTTTCCCTTTTACAGATTACCTGGTAAGTAACATCCCAAGAAATACATAATGCTTTACATAATCACGGCTATTTTCATGCCCATCTCCCTTAACCTTCCTCTAAGACAAGAAAATAACTATGCAATAAATAACAGCAAGATTCTCTGCACCTGTTTGAGATGGGAAAACTTAGAATGGTGTTTATTTTCAGTAACGATATTTTAAACTGCACTCACCTGCTCCAAATAGTTCTTTGTGGACCTCTAATACCACAGCGACACCAATATTATCTTTTGTCATCACTCTGTTCAACATAGCTTCGGATCCATCTGAATTAGCCATTGCCACTTGGTTAAATTCCACTGTATGCTTCTGCACCAATGTAAATCTAAAAGGTACAATGCAGTATTAACATGATATTAGGTACTTGGAATATCAGGCTAAAACGACATTAAATGAAGGGAGCACAAGATGCAGACACTATTCACTGTCTCCCTAGTCATTTTCTAGCTGCAAGGGGCTATATGATACAGTCTGGCCAACGAGACATAAGAAGTCTGATTATTGTAAAACACTTTCTTGGAAGCACCACCTAGCAAAGATGGTATATATATATCCCTTTGCCCTTTTAGACTTTTGTCCATGTGGTGAGAAGCAGGAGGGCAAAAGCCAACCCACTATTGATGGGGAAGAAGCTGGATCCAGTTCTGGACTGCCACTTCTGGACTTCTTGTATGAGAAAATTACCCTTCTCCCATTTCTTTAAGCTACTGTTGGGATTTTTGATATTTAAAGGTGAACACAACCTTAACTGAGACAGCAAGTTAATAAGAAAGAACAGAATAAAATCTACCTACCCTGTTTGCAATTTTATTCTTACTACATCAAGAGATTTGTCAGGAAAATGCAGGGACATACTCTTATCTCAGCTAAGTTCTCAGGAAGCCAATTTTTCCATCTGGCTTTTACTAGAAAGCTGGAAGTGGGTATATGCAAGTGTTAAGAGGAACAGATTCTGTAAGATGAAGAATGGCTTTCTCTGAGCTTATAGCTTCTACACTGATAGTATTTTCTTTCCTTAGTGCCAAATTAAGTATTGTAGAGTTGTAGGATTTAACAGAATTGAGTCTAGCACTGACATTTAATAGTAGTATGATCTTCATCAAAGCCATTTAACCTAATTTTCTTAACTACGTGAAATATTTATAAACAACCAAAACATACTAAATATACTGTCTACTTTTCACTAGGTGTTACGTGGAAAGAAGATGCCTTTGTTCTTATAACACACTCCCACCCCATCTTCCTCCTAGCTTTGAAACAGAAGCATGTACACGCACATCCCTTCAAAAGCACCAACTAAAATCTTCCTAAGCCGCAGGACACTGTGCTAGACGAACAATACTCCTCTCCCTGCTCCAATTCTGAATGTCTCAGATACGCTGAGAGAAATAAAAGGTGGGGTCATGTGCCTATTTCTAACCCAAAGGGAATATAATGTCCACCCTCTACTCTAAAGAGGGTGGAAACCGAAACACAAAAGATGAGGAGTTACCAAGGTGAAGAATGGGATGAAGAGCATTCCTGCTTCCAATAGAGGAAGAAGTGAAGGGTCCTGAGCTAGCAAACAGCTTTGTAGGTTTACAGGATAGAAAAGAAGCATATGAAATGATGTTTGAGATGAGAGGAAGAAGACGGACTGAAGGTTCCAAGTAAGAACATGATATTATTTGATTTATATTTTTTAAGATCACTCCAGCTGCTTTGTGAAGAATGGATTATAGGACCTACAGTGGGAATTATGAGACCAATTAGAAAGTTTTTGAGGTTGTCTGGATGACAGAAGATGGTGGCTTAGACTAAGGCGAGAGAAATAAAGAGAAGTAGGCAGATTGAAAATATGTTCTATAGGTATAATTGACCATCCTCAATATCAGACTTTTTTGAACATCTTTAGGCAGTGGAATACCTTTCTCAAACAACTTCTGGTAAGATTTCCATATATAAAACAGATCAAAGCAGTATCATGTTTGAATAAATCAATCACTGAAAACAATGAATGTTTTGGTGAATATAAAAATTTGAAATAAGAGGATATAGGTGTTAATTATAGTCTTCTATCAGTCTCAGTATCCAGTTTATTCCTGTATTTTCTTTTGGTTACACATTATTAATAAAAATCCTGATTCACATAGACACACAAATACAAGTGGTAAATAAACAGGCTTGAACTCAGAAAAAGCAAGCAAGCAGGCAAAAACTCAATTCAGAGGTCTGCACCAAAACAAGTCAACTAAGCAGCACATCAGGAACACGTTATTGATTTCCAAAGTGTTAAAATTCGGTATTTGATACACTTGAGTGAACATTTTTAAATTACAGCTTAATTATTTATAGGAACCTAGGATTCTATAGGAAAGTCTGAAAATCTTGCTTAATAGTAATACTTTTAGTATTGGAATATTTTACTTCTACCAAAGTGAAGCCATTACTGGGGGAGGGGTGTGTAATTATTAGAGATGTATTCCTTAACTAAAATTTGTTTCCCTGTGTCTTTCTTCCATTAAACCTAGATCTAGATCTTTTCTTTAAAGGAATCTAGAATACGTCTAATTTCTCTTCCACTTGAAACTACTCTAAATATCCTCCTAAGTCTTTTCTAGAAAAGAAATGATCAATTCCTTATATGATATATGGTGTAAGACAGTTGTTCATTTGAACAACTCAAGTTTACCCAAAGGTACAGTGCCTAGAATTGGGTACAGCTGAAGTACTGCCTTCTTCATTTTGGACTGTACTTTTGTTAATAAAGACTGAAATTGCACTTTGGGGACAGCGATATTAATTATAAGCCAAATAAGAACTAATATATATCTAAAACTTTTTGGTCTTTTTTGCTTTCAGCCAGGTTTCTTCAGTCCTGTATTTATGGATGCTTAAAAACAAGTGGAAAAAATGATTTTATTAAGTTACATTTATTTATTGTAGAGATTTGGAAATGAGAGGAAAATACAAAGAAAATTTAAAGTCACCCACAACCCAACATTCACGTTAACAAGTCAATATATTTCCCCAGACTTTTCTTCATGTACACGCACACAAATATTTTTATACAATTAGGAAAATACTCCGTCAGTGTTTATTTTGGCTTATTAATAAACATTCTATCAGGGACATGTCCCTACAAAATTAAATATTCCTCAAAATCAATTTTTATGATTGCATTATAGTCCACTATACAGATTCACCATAATTTATTTAACTATTCTGTATTGGACATTTAAGTTACTTCTGATTTGAGCTATTAGAGCTAATGCCATTACGACCATTTTTGCATATAAATATTTTCTGTATTCTCAAATAATTTTCTCTCTCTTTTTCTTCCTTTAATAATCTAAAAGCAGCAGACTTTATCTATTTCTGTTGAGTATCATTTCATGAGATTCTGCTCATTAGTTCACCCATTCAGATATTAAGGGTACTCAAACTTCATTCTATTTTCCCAAAAGATTAAATATCCCTGCCAACTTTTTGGCTTTTATAAATCTTATGTGTATATATCTATCTTCTCTGAAATAATCAAAATTCTCAATAGAACAAATAATAAAAACAATAAAAGCTTCCTGAGATAGATATTCTAGTCCTAAATTTGTAAAAACTTTGCAAAGGGGTGGACATGGAAATATACTGCCCAGATTCCTCATGAATACTTCAGGAAACGCTCTAGTTACGGAAAGCTGCCTCACCCAAGGTCAACTACTTCTGGGAGTGGCCAACATCCAATTACAGATCAAAAGCAAAAGATAAAGGTCTGGGGATTGGTCCCTAACTCTTGCAGGCCATTTTAACTCCAAAGCTACAGTGGGGTCAGCTGAGGCTGTCAGGCCTGCAACACAGCTCTATTCTCCAATTCTGCTTCTACCCACTTCCATTCCACAGGTGTTGATCCCTAATAAATTCCTGAACACCAAACTAACTCAGAGTCTTCTCTCTGGATAACTCAAATTGCAACAGGCAGTATCACCATTCCCATTACAAAGACGAGAAAAACTGAGGCTTGGAAAGTTTTTTTGAAAAATGAGATGCTTCATTCATCTCCAATATCCTAGAACCTCTCCTATACTACAATATTCATAATAGATTACCCTTGTCTGTTCTCTAATCATACTTTCACAAGATCTTTTGGTACCATGGGATATAATTATCTTGATTTGGAAACCTAACTAGTTAAGGCAGTTTAGTGACTCTCTTCGCTTACCAATCTCATCTTCTTGGTTTGCCAATCTCCTCTTCACCTGGTCTTACTTAGTCTTTCCACTTTGAAGATAATTTTCCTCAACAGAGATCATAAAAGCAAAATAGAAGTTTTATAGCTCTGTTTTTTCCCTCAATTATCAATTAGTGATTATACAATCCACAATGGGTATATCCCTTCTTTACAGTGCATGTTATTTAAAATATCCTCCTTGTTGCCTTGGCACTTTCACCAAACCTTTGCTTTTTCTTAATTTTATTGGCAAAGACGACAGGTTCATAAATTCCTTTTTTAAAATACACGCTTGGTTATTGACTTTTCTTTATTAAAAAAAATATATATCTTTTTAAAATGAACCCTAAACAATTATTCTGCTTATTAGATGCCTACAGCTTTCTTCCTCATTGGTATAATTTAGGATTGTATTGTCCCAGGGATTTTTGTTGTTGTTGTTGTTTTTTCCGAGGAAGATTAGCCCTGAGCTAACGACCACCACCAATCCTCCTCTTTTTGCTGAGGAAGCCTGGCCCTGAACTAACATCTGTGCCCATCTTCCTCTATTTTATATGTGGGATGCCTGCCACAGCATGGCTTGATAAGCGGTGTGTAGATCCACGCCCAGGATCCAAACTGGCGAAACCCAGGACACCAAAACAGAGCCCATACTTAAGCGCTATACCATGGGGCGGCTCCTGTACTGTCCTACTTTGGACTTAAACTTTCCTACCTTCTCGAGGTATCCACATTTTTAAGGTCTTTGGGTTCAAAAAGTTGAGAAAAATAAAACCAGTTTTCCTAAACAGAGTACATACGTCATTACAACTAACACTCCCTTCCTTGGCACTTAGAAATATTAAAGGGGACAGAGTCACATTCTTGAGTTTTATCATTTCAGCTTCACCAATAGCTGAAGAACCAAAGAGATAGTTAAGAACCAAGGAATCGAAGAAAGTTCCTTTTTTCCAGTGAGAATTCAATAAGAGCATAAATATACTTCTTGAACCTTAAGAACTCTTCAGTTACTCTGCCTTTAGAATATGAGATTCCCAGCACCAGCACAGATAGTTGTAATCTCCTACAACTTATCTTGTTTATTTTATACTATAATACATTTATAATAGAGTAAGAAATAA